GCGGTCACATCTCGCCACGCGCTCGAATTGGACAGTGGGCAGGGCAAAGACGACGATTTTCGATAATTTTTTTCTCGTTAACTATTGCGAAAATTGCAAATGGTTCAGGACTTTTCTGTTCATCTCGATCCGTTCTACCTTCTCACGAGCTCTGGGACAAATGTTATAACTCACCCTGTATATACGATCTTACATTCTCTCGGATTTAATACCATTTTCTTTGATTCTATACGATCTTATATGATTTATGTACACGACCTTATGTGTTTCTATATGATTTTTATATGACTCTGTAGGTCTTTATATGATTTTTATACGTTTTAATACGATTTCATAAGCTTTTACACGATTTTATATGCTATTGAACTATTTTGTTCTTGGCATAAGCCATATAAGCCTCTGAAAAGGGCAGCCATTTTGTGTGAACCTACGTCACAAGCCTACATCAGAGCAGCCATTCTCGTGCAAGCCCCTTGCTACATAAGCATAAGCCCTAAAGGCCTTTGCACGTAAAAAAGCATTAACCATAACCGTAATTTTAGTCCATAACCTACGGACCCTACGTAATTTTAGTCCGTAACCTTAGGAATTTTACTTGGGTTGCTCCATCTGTCTGTACGTGTTGAAAACTACGATTACGGACTAAAATTACGGTTACGGTTAACGCTTTTTTACGTGCAAAGGCCTTAAGCCTAGTGAGAGCAGCCATTTTGCTCCAAGCTACGTCAGAGTGCCACGTCAGAGTAGCCATCTTCCCTCAAGCGCCAATAAGAATTGAATTAATTCAAGCAAGTGATTTTGTCAGTTCTAATACGAATTTCATTAAAATTAATTAAGATCTAGTTGAAATAAATAAGAGTTAAACCTTTTAATATAGTATTTTCAATTTAATCGATTTTTCTTAACCTTTCATAAGCAGTTGCTTTAATAGAAGTTCGATTTGATTAAAGTAAGTAATCTAGTTGAATTTAATACATATTTTGCTTGAATTAACAAGATTTAATAAGATTTTATAAGATTTTTATTTGCTTTAACAAGATTTAAACTGATTTATCCTATAAGGATATCTTTATTTTTATTGAATATCTTTGTGAATAACTCTATAATATTTTAACAAAGGTTTTCATACCTTTAATAAGAATATAAGTGAATTCATGTAAGTTAGTACGATTTAATAAATATTGGAGTTAAAGTAATTAAGATTTAGTCAGAGTAAGTAATATTGTGTTAAATTTAGTAAGAATCTGAGTCGATTCAAGTAGATGATTTATTTGAACTCAGTTGATTTAATAAGAGGTTATTCGATTTTTATTAGATTTTAGTTTGCTTTTTGGTTGGTTACTTGACTGCATTCAATAATTCTCCTAAGCTCTCGGCTTCCCCGGATATAGCCGGTGCATGCAGGTTGTCCGAAAACTTAAATAGAGAGCCTAATTCGTAACACAACCAAAATTGTAGCGCTCGTGAAGCCCGAAAGAAGTTATTATATCAAAATTTTAAAATTATTATACAAAAATCAAAATGTTAGTTAATATCTGGAAAGCGATGAGACTTAGAGCTATAGTTATAAGGACCAAAATTGTAGCGCTCGTGAAGCCCGAAAGAAGTCGTTATATCAAAATTTTAAAATTATGTAACCTATAAAAAATAATTTATATCTCGAGAATTATGAGACTTGGATAAAATTCAAGGGCCTTCAATTTTTCAATTAGCTTAACTAACAAATACTAGAAGGAAATTTTTCTTTTAACTTTATTGGTTCTCAAATTAACAAACAAAATTTTGAAAATTTAAAATTAAAAATTATAATAATATTTAATAGGCCCTAATAACATATGTTACGTGGTAAACATCTTAGAAATATTAACCGTTACAAAATTACAACAAATTGTTTATATAATGTAAAACTCAACGTAACTAAGGGTATAAAAAAAGATCCGAAGCCTCTACGCCTCATAGTTCTCGAAATAATGAAATTTAAAGATCCACAGAAGCAACGCGAGTGCGAGAGAGAAGGTATGAGAGAGAGAGAGAGAAAGAGCTATAAACTTCGATAATTTTTATCTAGGAAACGGTACGATGTAGAACAATAGTTATAAGACCGAGGTTGTAGCGCTTGTTAGGACAAATATCAAAATTTCGAAATTATGTAACTTACAAAAATATTTTCATACAAATGAATTTTCTAATTTTGTGCCAATCAAAAAGTAATTATATGGCACAAAGCCGTGCGGTAATAGCACCCTATCACGAGAACGGTACGATATAGGACAAAATTTCATAGGACCAAAATTATAGAGCTTATTAAGATCTCACAGAAGGCGCAATAATAAATTTTTGTTATTATTATTGTTCGCGAAATATGTTTCGTGGTTGCCGCCGCACTACGCCCGCTCGACGTGCGCGCGGATACGCGCGTGACGTGAGACGACCCGGGGGGTGGCAGCACCTCCCGGGTCATGAAGTTTAAACCAGCAGGCCCACGCGTGGCGCTGCTTCCGGAAAAGGACATTCAGTTAGTTAGTGCGTAGCTAGCGATCTAAGGTGGTAGATTCTCGTAGCGACGGCTCGGTGTGACTGTAAGCGTACCGCGAGTGATAATCACAAATTTGTAGTGGCTAGTGAAGACGTTCTGATACATCCTCAAGGCAAGTGCACCAAGTGCGCTGCCACCTCGTGCTCGACGGCCTCGCGGTTCGCCAGAGTCAGTTTCGGTATTATTGTACGCTCGGCAACGGCTCTTCAAGCTCACACAGACTGATCAGCTCACGTTTCGGTTAAACGTACAGCTCTTTGTGCGCGGAGTCACCAACGGCCACTCGGCAAGCGCTGTTATCCTGCCGTCGTGGTCGCCCTTGCACACGCGATAACTCATTTGCACGTAATAAATCTAGTCCGAACCTAAGACTAACAATTAAGGGTAATTCTCGCAAACCATTATAATTCTGAAAATCTGAAATTACGAATCGCAAACATTTGGTCCTTCGAGCCGGATCGTGTGTGCGGGGGAGAGCGGCTCGCAACTTCTCGTGCTCAGCGCGTGATCGCGCCGGTCACAGTGCGCGTGCTCAGTGCGTGTTCTTCACGATCGGTGCGTGATCAGCGTGTGGATTATCTCGTACACTTGTGTGTTCTGGACCAGCTCGGCGCGTAGCTGCGTGCACATCAATTGTTACTCTCGTGCTCGACGCGTAGTTCTGCACGTCGTGCTATCTCTCTTGCTCGGCGCCTCTTGTCGCGCGTCGCGTGTTCTGCTCGGGCTCAGTGCGTGGCTTTCCGTGTGCGCGCGGGAAACTCGTAAGATGGACGGCGAGAAACAAGAAGGTGCCTTACTCGGGGTGCCATCCCTGCAGCCGACTCGCGCAACCTCAAGGTCGCCCTCTCCGACAGACTCGCTGGTGACCGTGCGGGGTGTCTCACCGGCAGGCACCACGCGGTCTCAAGCTACGGTAGGACAGTTGTCCACGGAACTGGCGCTCAAAGTTAGGGCGCAGATGAATCGGTTGACGTTACTCCAGGAGAGGCAAGCACGTCTGCCAACGATGACATCACTCGAGCAGGTACTGGAGCTTAAGAGCAACGTGGTTGACACCCTTAAGGTGTTTCTCAAGGAGCATGCATACTTTGAAGCAGTATGGCCTGCCTCGTGCCTGGATCACGCATATTTCGCTGACAATGTCTTTCTGGAGGCTCAGCGAGTGGCCTCATTTCTCAAAGAAGAAATAGCCAAGACTAAAGGCTCACTGCTGGCTCAGCCGTCCTGCTCGTCGACCGGCTCAACACCTGTCACCCATACAAAGCTACCTGACATAACATTGCCAGAATTTAATGGCAACTATCCGGAATGGCCCACGTTCAGGGACCTGTTCAAGAGTCTCATTTTGGAAAACGCTCGACTATCCGACGTAGAGAGACTTCACTATTTGAGAGGCTGTCTCAAGGGAGCACCGGAGCGGCTCGTCATCGGATTCCCGCTCACGGCACAATCATTGAGTTTGGCGTGGGACTTGTTATCATCGCGATATGATAATAAGCGATTGATAATTCAGGCGCACTTGGATCAGATCTCCTCCGTCACCGCTGCGCACAAAACA